TATAACCGAAGGTCGTGGGTTCGAATCCCGCTCGTGAATTTCATCTCAGCGAAGACCTTACGTAAAAAGAATCATTAATTCAAATATTCATAAAACGTTGGATTTTTTCCAATTTTGTCATGTTTCATACATCCGTTTTTTTATGTGTCCGTTTGTTTGCTCTTATATTTGCTCACTAATTGGTTTTTAATTATTTTTTGTTTTGTATCATCCCGCCATTTGCATTTCCGTTTATTATACATATTTCTATTTTTTTATTAATAGTTTGTTGTTATGTTTGTTTAATATTTTGTGTGTCTGTACAGTTTGGATTTTTGTTGTATTCATTTGCCCATTCATTATTTTGTTCATTCGTTTGTTTTTTTCACTAAAAGGTTTCTAGTATATGTAGGTAAATCAGCATGTATGTTTTTTGTATGACTTATTTTTCTTTGTCAATATTTTCTTTATGTTTTATAGTTTATTTAACTGAAAATTTTGAAAAGGAAGACTAAAAGCACTTGTGAAGTTTCTTACAAATTAACAACTTTCACAGGGGGAAGTTTGTCCTCTTTTTTAATAAAATTGATCACTTTGATGATGCTGTGAATATCCAAGAAAAAATAAAACATTTTTCAAGTTGAACTAGTTTATTTAAACTATAATTTCATTTTGTTTAACAACTCATGAAGTTTAATTAACAAAATCAAGTAATAAAAAGTTAATGTTTCATTTTATGTATCGTATAAGATATAGTACCACTGGCCCAAATGATTCATTACTTGTTGTCAAATGAATCATTTTGTCAGCCACGCGAACTGATTTATCTGAAACAATATTTTAAGTAGTACTTTTGCAAAGGGGGCAAGAGCTAATTAGCCCCTTCTGGAGAATTGTCTCCGCTAAAACTGGGACACGGTGTGGAACGGTTTTCCCCCCAGGTGAGGTTTTGTACATGCGTCTTGCAAAATCGCCTCTTCACCAACGGGAAAAACGCTTTTAGAAATCAGCCTCGAGCAACGCCAAATTACCGACTCCGAGTTTAAATTCAATCGGCACGGCATTCGCCTGAAAGTAGGCAATGTAGAAAGCAACTTAAGAGAGAGAATGAAGTGGGCGGGCATGAATTTTAAAACGGCCTAGACCACAATCAAAACACCGTCCTGAAGTAAATCGTTAATTCCGCACAAACTGGAAACCGGGTCGGTTTCTAAGATAAAAATTTCCGGAATTGGAAGAAAAAAAATTGAGCACTGAGATTATGTGAATCCGCTTTCTTGGATTGAGGACTAACCTAATATCATAAGCGTGGGTCATCCGCGAGAAAGCCCCCGGCTTTGCTAACTTAACAGTGTGTTAGGCCTCAATGGATAAGAACTCTTGAATCCATCGTTTTATTCATATTTCCGGTAAAAAAAGGAATTGATTTTTTTAAATATATATTTCTTCAATTGTCTTTTTCCAGTTGATCCAATGATTGTTCGAAAATTTTAATATTATTTTGTCCATATGTATTAATATTATATAATCCAAAAGTAAAAAAAAAGTTGGAAAAAATACAACAATTTAACGCTTTATTTAGGTATCGTACTATTAATATTATTATATGCAATATATATATATTAATTACTATTACAACATTTCTCCGTCAAATCGACCCTTTTTATCTTCAAATTAACCCTGTTTAATTTTATATTATCCTTTTTTAATATTAAATGAACCTTTGAATTAATTATTCTTTTTATGTAAGGTCTTGGTTGAAGTGAGTGTCACGAGCGGGATTCGAACCCACGACCTACGGCTAAATACGCCGCTGCTCTTCCAAGCTGTAGGTCAAGTGGTAGAACAGCGGCGTATAGCCGAAGCTCGTGGGTTCGAATCCCGCTCGTGACATTGACATTTATGTCTCAACCAAGACCTTACATAACAAGAATAATTAATTAACAGAAGTAACTTGGTCAATTTACCACTAAGACATAAATGGATTAAATTAACCCTTTTTATCTTCCAATTAACCCTTTTTTCAAACTAACCCTTTGAAATTTATTTAACTCTTTTAATATCAAATTAACCATTTTTTTACTTTAAATTGTTCAAAATGATCAAGAAAGCGTCGACCCACCAAAAATATTTGGTAACTAATTGGTCAACATTTTCCCAAATCCATATCGTCTTTCTTCTTCTATGATTCAAACCATCTTTTTTTTGTACTTTCTTAACTCATTTCTTAAAACATAAATCTTAGGAGACGGTATGAAACATAAGCACTCAAACAAAAATTCCTGAATAATTCAATTTTTTTTTTAATATAAAATAATTGGACTTTTAGAAGAGTTTCTGATATGTAGAAAAATATCATTTTTATTTTTAATTGTAATTAATATGCACATGGTTTTCTCAAAGCCTAATTTTTTTATATACAAGAATTTTAGTTAAGCGCTAACATTTCATATCATTTGCTAGGTTTTGTATTAAAGAAAAAGTTAATTTGATATTAAAAAGGGATAATTTAAAATTAAAAATGTTAATTTGAAACGAAACAATTTGAAATTAAAAAGAGTCAATATGATGAGAAAGAAAAAGGGGTAATTGATAAATTTGACGGAAAAAAGATTTATTGAATAGGGAAATTTTCATGCTGGACACGCATAGTGTCGCTTATGAGTTATAGGGTCCGTCTTCACTCGCGGGTTTGTTGAATTTCTCCAGCGCGTTTCGGCATTGCGCCATATTCAGCGAGGAACCAGGAACAACTATTTTCTCCTAGTTTTTCACTGAAGATGGCGCAATGCCAAAAAGCGTTGTTGTAATTCAATAAACCCGTGTGTGAAGACGTACCTAATAATTGACCCTATGCCGGTCCCGCATGAGTTAACGACTCTCAGGCTCGACTCAAAGAAAATTTTACGCGCAAGTTCTTCAAGTTCTTGAAGTTGTTTACTATGGGTAGTAGCCAGTATGTTTCTAACTAGTACTCAAATTCATAAATCCGGAAAGTAAACAAATAATGTGAATTATTGAGGACTATTAATGATATCACTTTCGTATAATGCAAAATTGCCTTTTCTGTAATGATGGAACATCTAAAATCATGTATATAATAGTTTATTACAAATTTTCTTAGGTGTAATGGTAATAGAAAAATGTATATTAATGAAATTCCTGCTCTTGACTACTTGTAAAAAATATTTAAGAATTCTTACTGCCAGGAATTTTGTTCAAATAGGATCACAATAAAAATTAAGGTGAAGAAGAAAGTGGTAAATAGTTTTGAAAATTTGCAATTTATGCACTGAAATTTTATCAATTTTTTCAATGAACTTTTATCAAAGGTTTTGATAGTGGGAAAAATGATAAAACATTGTTTTAAATCTTAAAGTCTTGCTAAGTTTAGCAAAAGACTATTAGAGGTTTTCTAAAGTAGAGTTGAATGCTGAAATTCTTTTATTTCCTTAAATTTTACCATCGTTAATAAACTTAATTAAGACCCTGTTTGTTTACGTAATAATAATTAATTTCTCGTTATAGTTAAGTGATTTCTGTCGAACAGTAGAGCTTAACGTCCAAACTATCTTTTGGGTGTCACGCCACGGTTAGAATTTTTTTGTGATTTTTTTACAAGTTATTCTCTAATAAAATTCGAAGGGGTTCCCCGGGATTGGAACAATGAACCGCTAGCATGGCAAATACGAATGTCGAATAATTTTTCCCTATATGAATTAATGCATTGTTATTCCGCATCGATTTCTTCCTGTCTAACAGACTTTGAGAAAAAACCAGGGAAACCAGGATGGCCACAAATTTAAAACTAAAGTAGTATACATAATAAAGAGCAAAAATATTGGCCATGCCGTAGCTTTAACTTTTATTTGTACTCCAACTAAAACTATTCCATATTTTTCAATTAATTATGGTTTTTTAGTTGGGATAAAAAAGTCAGTGTCACGAGCGGGATTCGAACCCACGACCTTCGGCTAGATACGCCGCTTCTCTACCACTTGAGCAATCGTGACTTCGATCCACTCGGACACCCATCCAAATCCCACCTTTCGAATTTTTCCTCCTTTTTGCCATTTTTCAATGTGGGAAGTTGGTGTCCGAGTAGATCGAAGTCACGATAGCTCAAGTGGTAGAACAGCGGCCTATCTAGCCGAAGGTCGTGGGTTCGAATCCCGCTCGTGACACTGACTTTTTTATCCCAACTAAAAAACCATAATTAATTGAAAGATATTAATTGGTCAAGCGGTCCACGAAAATTAGTGAACTATTGCATATTATTTAACCGTTTATGAAACAGGTTTGTTAACAAATTCTAAATTTTTTTTATATGAAAATCATGAATTAATCTAATTAGAATAAAAACACCCAGTGATGAATGAAAATGAGTTTCCGAATTACTGGAATCGGATAATTTCGATTAGCATGAGTAGCATACGAATGCAATCTTCCTTTGATAGAGCCGTCCCACTATCACCTCAAAAGCTGTATGAAGCCGGATTTTAATACAATAAGTAAATGTTCATGATTGTAAACATTGTGAATTATTAGTAGTAAGTCGTGATAAAGTTGATATTTAACTTGAAAGCTTGACGAAAGAACAGAAAGTTTTTCTTTCTAATTAACCTTATCCCCGATTTTTCTGTACAAAATTATAATATTACAATCTGATATCAATTATGTTAAGGAAATTAAATTTTTCAAACAATGCTTGCAGTTTGCCATCATGTTCATGTAGGTGGAATCACCCACCAATTTCCACTTATTAGAAATGAAATTGAATAAAAATTTATTAAAAAAGATGGATGATGTGATGACTTATAAAATTTTCTTCAAAGCAATCTTGCCAATGTTAGGAATAAAAACGTTTTGCTGTTAAGGAGTTTTTGACTTTTCTTTTAAGGTGAAGTCTGGCCAGGCATGGTAAAAAAGTGACTGAAAATGTGAAATACGTAGTGGAACTTACGTCGGTTTGACATTAATGTTAAATAACCACTTGTCACAGTAAAAGCACTGATACTAACTCTTTCCGAGCATTTCGACGAGGGATTGTTGGAAACCCCTCGGGTCGTCGTGCGACTCAGTCGTGGTCGAGTTCCTCATTTTGTTGGATATGACGTGCATGAGGATGACCGCGTCGTTGTGATGCCTCTTCGGGGCGACCTCGTTGCTCATGACGACCCTTCTCGACTCTTGGGTCTCGTTCTTGTTCACCTTCGACCTCTCCCCTGGAAACCTGAACTCGACCGAGTGCGCGGCTCCGAGCAAAAGAAGGCAGAGGAGCGATGTACCGAGGGACACGACCATGACTGAACAGACACCAGCCCGCCTCCTCTCACCCAAGGCCCCCTCCTTGACTTTCTTTAATCGGGTCACTTTCTTTTTGTTTACCTCCGCCTTCGAGGCATCCTGTCTCTCTTCCTTGAGTGATCTTTTATGCAAATCCTCATCCCGCACCGTGGTCCCACTCTTGATCGATCATCCATATTCCACGATTTGACTTTTCACTCTGATTACCAACCATCCATCCGTGCAAGTCTGTTGAACTTGAATTAAGGTCATGATCAGCTTTTTCGTTCGGCAATTTCAACTGAAAATCGGTGTCAATGAACAATACGCAACACATTTATCTAACATGAGTCAACATTTCGTTTAAATGTATGGTTTTTAGTGACCGTTAGTCAATGATTATTCGGAGATCGTGAGATGCGGTGTGGTGTGACGTAGGTTTTAGAAAATCTTTTTCTTTATCGTGCCAACGTTTCGATCTTTATTGAGATCATCTTCAAGGCTCAACGTGTTTGTTTTCCGTGTGTCATTCTTGTCTGTCGTGGGCACTCCCAACACGACAGACGAATGACACATTTACACGGAAAACAAACACTCTGAGCCTCGAAGATGATCTCAATAAAGATCGAAACGTTGGCACGATAAAGAAAAAGATTTTCTGAAACCTACGTCACACCACACCGCATCTCACGATCTCCGAATTTCGTTTAAACCTAAATATTTGGAAAATCGATATTGCTAAACCAAAAACTTGATTATGTATATAGTAGTATGTTATACAGTAAATGTTAGTTTAATATGCGATAATAAATGCACTCAATTTTGTCCTCATAATTCCAGCGATTTATAAAAAGTAATATATAAAATATATTGACAAAAAATCATGGACACTAAAGAATCATGCAGTTCTTCAGTCTTATAATGGAATTTGTTTACTAAACGATGATTGTCATTGTTATTGACCTTTATTTTTTTTCTCACGGTTGATGATGGGAGGTAGTCTGCGAGTCGGTGAAATGCCGAACTCGCAAAACGTCACTTATTGGGTCCGTCTTCACTCGCGGGTTTGTCGAATTACTCAAACAAGTAAAACAAAAAAAAAACAAAAAAAAAAAAAAAAACGGTGAAAGAAGACGACACAATAAGTGACTGGACTTTCTTTAATATTTGCTAGATTTTTCATTTTATCCTTTTATGTAAACGTATCCACATTCTTATATTTAAAATTACCATTTTTTTTAAATAAACGCTGGATTAGTGAACATGATCAACGGTTTAAATCGACTCATCACTGATGTTCGCGTTCAAATTATCAGCTGCCTGATTTCAAAACCAAAATATTTACAAATTGGCTTTTTGTTTTCAAAGAATGCAAAGCCCGGGGGTTGATATGAATTCTGCTGTTGCGAACGTTCTTAAAAAAAACTTTCAGAACTTCTTAGCTTTCATCTTTCTTGCAAACGTCTTCATATTTATTCCTCTGGATTAGCTGGACATTGTTTTTCTTCTGAGATTTAGATAATAGATCCAACTAGAATTTTCTGTTTTTATACCCATCTCTATAAGAATTAACGAACCGACACCGACACGACAAATTATTCGTTTTAACTAGCTCTCCATAACTGATCGGCTATGACAATGGTCGGACTAACCAGCGACGGTTGGTAGTGCTAAGTCCTAAGAGCTTTAGAAATTGGTCAGAGATTTAACTATGTTTAATATCAATACGTACTTACATATATCGTCGAAAAATCTGGTTTTGTTTGACAAATCGCGTTGTGCTCCTCGCAGCAATCTGGCGTTTTCTTTCACAGCCTTTTCTGGTGACAGAGCACCGGAATGTACTTCCTTCAGAATCGAACCCAACTCCGGCCACGCACCGTTGGCAACATCTGCAAAAGTTGTTTTGAAGAAGAAATTAAAATTAAAGAGAAATAATTAATTTTAATTATTATTTCTATATTAAATTCTATTTAATTTAATAATTTATTAAATTAAAGAGAAAAAAGCTAATTCGTCGGCTTTTAGTTATTTTCGTAGTAAAATTAAAATATTATAAATGATGCTACTTACCGATTAAATTTTCTGCTAAGCCATCTTCACAAGAAGAAAATCCAAAGCCACCAAGGATCGTGAGCAACCAAATGTACATAATTTTAAAAGTTATGTCTTGTTGAGTGGTCACTCTGTATAGAAAAGGCAATAATTAACTTCCCATAACAATTTAACTTACTAATTTACATTTAAATATTTAAATATGAAAATTGAACTTCCTTCAATTAATTCGCATGCACCTGAGGATAGATACATTTGCAAAACGGATGGACGGAAGATGAATATAAATTGCTCAATCCGAAAGACGCAGTTTTCCTAATTTCGTTCCAGTGGAGAAAGTGTGGATCATTTGTCGAGCTTTGACAACTGGAAAACTTAAATTAGGTCGTTCCTTTTTTCCTGGCGTTCAATTTGGGATTAATTAAGGGCATGTCCGTTTCTAATGGCTTTTTGAACACTCATATGACGTTCAATTTTTAAAAAATTATGTCTTAGTAGATGAGACAATTCTATTTTTGGTGAAAACTTTAGTTAATAACTACCGGTATTACAAACATATCACGAAACCACTCGCCGAACTATTACGAATCACGGAGCAGTATTTTATTACAAAAATGATTATTTCATTTTTATTATTTTCATGATTGTTTTCTATTTAATAAAGATTAACTAAGTTTTTTAATTATGCACTTCAATTCTTTAATTATTCTAGAATTCAATCTCGTTTTATATATGAATACAAATGATGGATGTTATTTTATTACAAATGACTCAACTTAATTTTTTCTAAAAAGAATAATAATCAACGTTGATAAATATAATGATTGTAGTTGTTTATTATACAAAAAGAATCAGGCGATTTTTTTTTTCTTTAATTGGCAGAACCATATTGGACTACTGGTAGATTTTTTTAAGAAACATTATTCAACGTTCATCGGTAAAAAAAAAACCGACTGCACATCATTTTGTAAACAAATGATAAAATGCTTTTTTCTCAGAACAAAATCCAACGTTGAATGATATCACAGTTAATTAAGCCTTTTTTGATACACGTAGTACAAAGTGATTTTTTTTATAGTAACAATATTAAAAATTGATCGATATCACAAATTATTGTACTTATTGGTACACCAATGTCTCAACGTGTTTTGTATTGACAAAACAATATTAAAAATTGATCGATATTAAATATAAGTGGCCTTTTTGTTAAGACTTTAACTCAAGGTTATTTTTGTCAGAAGAATATTCAACGTTAATCGATATCACAAATATTCGAACTTTTTTTGTCAGACTCAACGTGCTTTTTTCTCAGAACAAAATCCAACGTTGAATGATATCACAGTTCATTAAGCCTTTGTTGATACCCGTAGTACAAAGTGATCTTTTTATAGTAACAATATTAAAAATTGATCGATATCACAAATTTTTGTACTTATTGGTACACCAGTGACTCAACGTGTTTTGTATTTTCACAACAATATTAAAAATTGATCGATATTAGATATAGGTATAATTGGCCTTTTTTGTTAATCTATGACTCGAGGTTCTTTTTGTCAGAAGAATATTTAACGTTAATTGATATCACAAATATTTGATTTTTTGTCACACAAATGACAAGGTGCTTTTTTCTCAGAACGATATTTAACGTTAATTGATATCACAAATATTTGAATTTTTTGTCACACAAATGACTCAACGTGCTTTTTTCTCAGAACGATATTTAACGTTAATTGATATCACAAATATTTTAATTTTTTTATCACACAAATGACAACGTACTTTTTGCTCAGAACAATATTTAACGTTAATTGATATCACAATTAATTAGATCTTTTTACATATGGTTCAAAGTCTTTTTTATGTAGAAATAATATTAATTAATCAAAAATAATTGTACTTATTAGTACACCAATGATTCAATGTGTTTCCTATTTTCACAACAATATTAAAAATTGATCGATGTCAGTGATAATGGATATTTTTAGCTGAATATATGATTCGACGTTCTTTTTGTCAGAGGAATATTTAACGTTAATTGATGATCACAAATAATTGATCATTTTTGTTATAAAAATGGCTCAGTGTGCTTTTGTCAGAACAATATTCAACATTGAATGGTATCACAAATAACTAGACCTTTTTACACAAAAGTTTCACGTTCTTTTTTACAGAACAATATTCAACATTAAATGATATCGCGAATAACTGGACTTTGTTTGTTACAAAATGTTTCAACGATTTTTTTTTTTGGGGGGGGGGAGAACGATATGTTTACTGATTTCAGAAATGATTGAACTTGTCTTGTAATACAAAAATTATTCAACGTGCTTTTCTTTTTTTAATATAAAAATAATAAGCATTGATAGATATCAAAAATTAGTGAACTTTTGTTGATACTGAAATGTCTCTACGTTCTTTTCTTATTTTGGCAGAACAATAGACATCGTTGATCGTTATCATAAATGATAGGACATTGTACAGAAATGAGTAAACATTCTTTACCGCTAGAAATTACTTAACGATGATCGATATCATAAATGTTTGAACTATTATCAATTAAGTGGTGAATTGTTATGTTATAAAAATGACTTCACGTTATCATAATACAAACAATCCTGGTTGTACAATTTTCAAAAAAAATGATTAGAGGTTTATATAGACATTTCTTTTCGATATCACTTAACTTTCTAATGTCTAAAGCTTTACGTTAATGCAGATCAATAATGATTAAAGTTCCTCGTATTATAAATGACTAATAGTTCCTGTATGGCACATGTTGGATAATCGTCCAAACAATTACTTAACTTTCTTCCTCATTAGATTTACATCAGAACTGGATATTTCTTTTTTAATAGTTGGATGTCCTTTATCTTGATCGGGAAATCGTGATTGTAGTTTCAAATGACTGAATGTAATCAACATAACTGATCAGCCTTTCGGCCTACATTAAAATTACAAGCCATTCTGCTATGTCAGAAATCATTAAACTTTCTATTCGGAAATTCATTGAATAAACTGTACGAAAAGCAAATTAGAAAATCTGATGAATGTTGTGCAACTTTGAATTCATTAAATTCCAACGAGCTTTTTGTTATATTACCTTATTTGATTTCCTAAATCTATAAAAACTTAAATTCTGAAAGATAGTAATTTAAATCAAGAAATCAGGCTATGTCCTGCAAAGTTTGGCAATTTTAGGTCCTATATCTGTAATTACTAC